GAAAGAACAATTTTTTATCATGAGCTCATCCTACAATAAAATCAAACAGTATCATAGATAATGTGTTCATGAGGATCTCCAAAGACCATAGATAGCATATCAAGGAAAGAACAACAAAACAAGACCATAGATAGCATATTACTTAAATCAAAATAAGACCATAAATCAAAACTTCCAATTACTTAAACACACCAACAAAACAAGACCATAGATAGCATATTAAGGAAAGAACAATTTTTTATCATGAGCTCATCCTACATTAAAATGAAACAGTATCATAGATAACATATTCGAGAGGATCTCCAAAGAAAAGCCCTCAGATCTCATAGTTTCAGTTGGTCATTTGCAGCATAGACATCTGTTATCCATTATGAGGTTTTACACACCATTAGCTGTGAATGTTTGAATGAATAGAAATTACTAAGGAAATGAAGAAGAGAGAAAAGATGACAATAGTAGTACTGAAGAAGAAGAGGATGATAACTAGGATGATGTAAAAGCTCAAAACAAGTAACATTGTCACTGCTCATGCAATGACTTTTCCATCATTGGTCAATTCCTATGCTGCAAAAGTTGGAGATAATGGACACGACTCACGGAAGATTAATTCCATATCCATCACGAACATAACAAGAGCAATTGCAGTAATTGAAGCCTATTATAACACAAATGGGTATGCTGTGCTAAAGCTATTCCACTAAACACATCACGTATGCATAATAAACATAGCAATTTCACTCACAAAAGAAAAATGCAGCATTTACTTCATGATTTAACACAACTACCCCATATGTACCCAAAATAAGAGTCACAACACTATATTTTCAACATGCAACTAATTATAATTTTTGAAATGAAACATGGGTCAGATAAAGCTTTCTAGGCTACATGTGCCTCAATATTGCAGTTTACAAGAACTGCTCAGAGCCCAGTGCATGTTCATCATAAAACTTCATACTTACAGAATGGGTAATCTTTAAAAGTGATAAAACCACAGCAGAACCATCATATCTCAGAGCTTTGAGCAACTCATCCACGGCATTCATCAAAAGCCCAAAAAAATATATACATACATATTGAAGAGAGAAATTGCA